CCCTTCCATTATAATTGTACAATATCATTGATTAACATGAAAAGTACCACTGATACTCACTCACTGATTTTTGGCTAAGCCCTAGCTTTGGTTCAAACCATGCTGAATGCTACGGCGCAGGAGAAAATAAAAGGCAGCCATGGAAGGGGTAATTCACTTTATCAGTTTTCTGTAGAACACGCTTAGTTGACTTCCTGCTAAGGAAGCAAAACTAAACATACAAAGAGGAGAAATAAGATCCATGCAAGGAAATAAAAGGAATTAAAAAGAAACTTGTAAGGCAATCCTTGACTCATACAGAGAGAAATAATTATTAATATCTAGAAGTCCAAGAAAACAAATTTACAAGTCAGTTAAGAATCAACTTAGCAGGTCGGGCGCAGTGACGCACGCCTGTCATCCCAGCACTTTGGGAGGCTGAGGCGGGTGGATCAGGTGAGGTCAGGTGTTTGAGGCCAGTGTGGCCAACATGGTGAAACCCTGTCTCTACTAAAAATACAAAAATTAGCTGGGCATTGTGGCAGGTGCCTGTAATCCCAGTTACTGGAGAATAGCAGCTGAACCCAGGAGGCAGAGGTTTCAGTGAGTCAAGATTGTGCCACTGCACCACTCCAGCCTGGGCGACAGAGAGAGACTCTGCCTCAAAAAAAAGAAAAACAAAGAAAGAAAAGTATCAACTTAGCAATACTTGTAAATACATATTTCTAGCTTAGTCATTCCAATAAAACATCAATTAAAAATTTGACCAATGTCAAGAATAACAGTGGCTATAAAATGGCTTTGACATTGTGGACAAATACATATATTCTAGAGTAGAAAAGTCTAGATTTAAGTCCCAATTCTCAACCTAGTAATCCTTTCTGACTCAAAATTTCCAAATATGAAATGAAGTTCAATGTGAATTCCTGCAGTGCAGCAGGATCACCATAAGTATCAAAAGAAACAAAACATGAGCAAGACACCCTGTACATTGTAAACCACAATATAAATAGTAATTGGGATTGCTGTTATCCTTATAACCCACTGCACCTTCAGCAACAAAAGATTTTAACCAGATATTAAAAGGCAGGGGGAGTGACTTAGAATCTCTTTCCTTCTCATGAACTGGTTTATTGAATTCCGTTCCTCATAAAGAAGGTATGAGCATACTACAACAGTGCATCCTTAACAAGAGAGTTGATAGTGGTAGTTTGGAAAATGTATTGTGTAAGAAACAGTGGAGAGACGGAAGGGTGCTGGAGGTAAAGGAGAAAAATCAGAGGAGGCAGATGTATGAGAAGTGTCTTCTCTGAAGTGTTGTGTATAATGCAGATTGCAAAATATACTTGTTTTATTCTGCAACAGACTCTGCAGATGGAGATCACAATACGGGAGATTATAAAAGAATGGAGTAACAGTAAGAGCAGTTCCCAATGAACCAACTGCTTCAGAGGTAGAAAGCAATCAGCCCACCCATGGAGGTACTCAGATGGAACTAGGTAACTTAAGAGGTCCTAGAACATACTCTTCCCAGTACCTGAATGTTTCCGTTAGGGAGAAGTCCTACAAATTTTATCTGAGTCTTATCTTTAATAGAGCTTTGGGGACCTTGACATAACACATCTATGGAAAATTAATTACTGGTCCCAATTCTTCTCTCCCTGTAGTAGTGGTGCATATCCAGAGTCTCACCATGGCCTCTCAATGGATGGAAGGTACTTCCTTGACCCTTGATTTTGCGCTTGGTTGTGTGACTTGTGTTGGCCAATGAGACGTACCAGACTGCCCTTCTGTGCTTCTGACATCAGCACGAGGGCTGCTACCCCTTCTGAATAGATCCCAAAATGACATGTGTGGAGCAAACCGACCCTGGTTGAGCTACAGATGACCTGCAGCTGACAGTACAGCCACTTCAATCTACTTGCAAAGCAGTAGCATAAAATAACATCTTTTTTAAATATGCCACTGAAATTTGGGGGGCTGTTCATTATTTGGCAATAGCAGACTCATATAACATCTGTCACAGTAGATATTCTAAGGAATGAGGCAGAGTTCTCTTAGCTACATACTGGAAATTGTGTAACTAAATTAACAAAACGACCTCTTTAGCAACTGGTCTATCCAATAAGCCGGGTCAATCATCAAAGAAGCATTAATGAAAGTGGCTCTATTCTATTTATCATACAAAGCTTTAAATCATCTGGGAAAGAGACTGTAAGCAAAAATTTCTGTAATTACTATTGCTGGAAGGCTTAAGTACTCTCTTCCAAAGGGATGCATGCACATTTTTAAAGTAATGAGAACAGGGAGAAACACTGTTTTGAAATGTTTTTCAACAAAGGCTAAATAAATTCATCCTGCCAACCACAAGTCTGTAAAACAGGCAGCTGTGTGCAAAATGGATTTTAATCAAATTCAGATGAAATCACTATTTCAAAAGTATTCAAAGAGCTATTGTCTAGAATGCATTAAGAAGTCCCACAATGTAAATGTTTATGCCTATATTATAACAATGCAGAATGCCACATAACCAAGAATGTATGCGTCTATTTTTTTCTGATTCAGTAAATCATTACAGCCTAGATGTCGTTACAGTAGGTTGACTACTCAGACTCTCATAGCTGCTCCACTCTAGGGGTGCCACGGGCTTAGAACTCCTTTATAAACGGGCAGAGGGGGCTGCTAGGATTGAAACCACAGCAGAGGGAGCTGCTAGGATTGAAGCCAGAGTGGATAATGGCACCAACAATACTCCACCGGCTTCCATGGGCATCACGACAACCTTAATGCTTATTTCACAGAGAGTAAATCAAACTGTCACACCCAGGAACTATATTTTATCTCAAGGTACAAAGTATGCTTAGGTGAGAGAAGTGACATGCAGAATCTGAATGCTGCAGGCTGCTTCTATTATGTGGTACGATCTGAACACGATTCTCATTGTGGCCTTCTTAGATCATAAAGCAGACTGCAGAAGTTATAATGAGTGATATGATTTTTATGTAATGCTCATATCTGCTGCATGTTCCATCTCTGAGAAATCCTAAAGACTATGATTTACAACATGGTGGAATTATTACACTTCTATACCTGTGCGAATAAGCACATCTCTGTAATATTTAACACTCTTTGTTAAAACCCTGTACTGTTTATTTATCACTCCCTTCCTCCTGACCATGGCATCCCTCTGCTGGCATCTTAAAGTCTATTCCCTCTGTTCCTCATAATCATTAATTGTCTTTCTTTCTTTCTCTAACCTGGACAAGACTATTGCAGTATAATTGTGTTTTCCTTATCAAGAAAATATGAGAAAATACTGAGTGGAACAATTAAAAAAAAAAGAAAAGCAAATGATATTAATTTTAAAAGGTAAAAATTAAGAGAAATATTGTGGATAAGATATTAAAAGATTATCATGGTACATTTTAGAAGTATTTTTTCATGATAGAAGATGATCTACCAAACAAGATAATGACAAATTAGTGACTAATTTTAATGATGTCCTCATTAAAGAGTTAAAAGCCTTCAGGTGTAAGGAATAAGGCATTTATGTATGAGGGTAGGGGATGCTTTGGAAGTGACAAAACCATGCTCCACCTAAAAACTTGAGAACCCAATTGCCTCAAAAAGCAAAATGCCTCCACTGGTCAGAGGCACACAAGGCTGCAGCCACCAGTCTGTGGGTGGTAACACATTCTCCAGTTCCCTGTCTTCTCCTGTTCGTGTCGGCAACGCTAGGTAGAGGAAAACAGGTGGGAATGTAGAGCCAGTGTAGGTAGCTTGTCATTTCCTCCGATGGGGAAAGAGGGAAGATGGGCACTTCCTGGCCAAAGGAAGACGGTAAGTTTCTGTGTGTGTTAAGCTTTAGCACCATCTCTGTCATTGATTAGGAAGAGAAATGAAGAAGGTGCTACAACATTTATGTTGTACTTATCCAATGATTTGACCAGAATAGAAAATTCCCCTTCCATGCCAGGGTTAAAATGAACAGCTTAACAGAATCACCGACTCACTCAACTGTGTCCAACATCCACTGAGCTACCGCAGGATAAGGATGGTTTGGCTGAGAGTGGAAGGAGAGTGGGCGGAGCAAGACAGAAGCACTTCTCCTTCCGTCTGAGAACTCTGGATTTAGATGAACACACACCTGAGAGGGGAGAACAGTGGCGGAGCAACTAGGGTCAGATGAAATTAAAAGCAAATAGGAAACGGGTAACCTGATAGGATTTTTGAACAGAGGGGGACAGGGAAGAAAGGGTTGATCAGAGAAGCAAGAGACCCTGAAGAGCCACAGTCTGAAGCCTCGGTAGGAGACGGCAGCTGACTACTGGGTGGAGCTTCCTGGACAGAGAAACCCCACCCAGGGCAGATGCAGCGGGAGAGCTCACCTGAGAAGGGGGGTCAGTAAACTGACCAGCTGGGGCCAGCAGGAGACCTCGATCAAAGGTTTGAGTGGTGTCTGGGTGAGATGGCAGAGGGAGGCAGCCAGGAAAAAGTGCTGAACGCCTCTAAGGGGACTATCTATTCGACAAGACAGCAGAAAGAAGCCAGGAGAAAAAGTGAGACTCTGAGATGAAAGAGACTTACAGGACAGAGAGATGAAAGTTCTGAGAGAGAACTGGAATATGGTGGTGGAGGGGATGGGGGTTAGGAGGAATAGTCAAAACTACACCAGCAAGTGAGGGGCCGAAATCGCAAGGGTGAGGAGGGAATCATCAAGAAGTATGAAAGGAGGAAGGTAAAGGCAATTGACTGAGGAGGAAGACACTGCAGGGCAGGCATCACTTTCTCGATTCCGCATACCACAGTGATGGGAGGACACTTTAAATCCCTGGGCCCTCACAGGAAGCTTGACATATCACTAATATGCTACATAACTATCCTAATCACAGTTGAAACCAAGGGTGTCAATGAAGGTCACTGCCAGACTGGGCACTTTTTCAGGCAGCACAAATTAGCCTGCCGGAATCCAGCAGGCACAGACAGATTCCAAGCCACAACACTATAAATCGACATGAAGCCAATCAGAAATGCTTTAATCACCTCACAAACAATGAGGCAGACCCAAATTTACAAGCTGAGTTTTGAGAAAATGAAGCAAGGTGGTGATAAAGATATTTTAACAGGGCTCTGCTATTAGCTATTTTTATTTTATTGTCGTTAAAAATATTTACATTTTCAATTTTAGAGGTCTGCGTTTTCCCAGTTCCAATTCAATTAGCTACACAGAGATATTCATATTGCCTTGATTGTTTTCACAATGCTTATTTTATTAATGATCTCAAAAATACACGGCACGCATCTTCAAAACTCTCCTCCGTAGATTCTTGTCAAATGTGAGATTAGCCAAAGAGCCTCATCTTGAGAACTGAGAGTAAGTTTCCAGACCTCAGGTGTGACATTCTGACTGCCTTGAAGATCCAATGGGGTGGTGAACGACTGGACATTTGGGGCTGCCTGAAAGTGCTCAGATGCACTGTTTCTGGAATCTACTGGAAGTCTGAGCTTTTGTAAGAAGACAAGTTCTACTGTTGATATATTTTTCTTTTCTGGAACAACCACACATCTGAATTTACTTAAAGCATGGCACTTGATCACATCAAACTGTGTACCTGGAGGAGACATGTTTAGAGACCGAGTACGTGGATAAAAAACATGGTCCTCCCTCAGCAGTGCAATGTGGGTGTTCAGAAGGACAAGCGACAGGCACTGGTCATGGCCAGAGTCACGCATGACTCTCGCTGTTGTATAGAGCAGTAACTGAACTTCTGCCAGGGAGGGGACGTTGACTTCCATATTTCCATGAAGAAAGTAAATCATGTCAACCAAGGTCGTCTGGAATTTGGATGACACCTGAACTCCATTTGGCAAAATTAATTCAGGGATTTCTGCTTTACAATCAAGAGAAAGCTGAACCAGATCTTGCTGGAGCAAGGGATGATCAGCGCAGGCAGCGGCATCAGGTTCTGGCATCAGGACACACAGGAGGTCACGACAGAGCTGTTGAGAGAGGTGTTTGTTGTAACTGAACACAGTGAGCAAAAGACCCTCTGCAGAGCTCAAGAATCGAATGCTCTGTCCACCAAAGCCAATTTGAATCTCCTGTAGACCAGAGAGAGGTAGAGCATGAAAAATGCTCATTGAGCCAAGGACATTATCTGACAGGACCACAGCATATAAAGTTGACTGAAGCAGGAGCAAACACGCTGGCTGGGGGTCAGGTGCTGTGCAGTTAGCAACAGCGAGCCAGTAAATGCCTCTGACTGCACTCGGGTTGCCCAAAGGTTCTGGCAGAGAACAAGTCACATGCTTAAGAAGGTCTTTTAAAGGGCACTCTTGAAGTTTCAGCATTTGGTCGGGGAATTGCACAAGGCTCTGCTTAAATGCAGAGCACTTTCTGGCATCTTCATATTCAAGGCGAAAAACTGAGCTTGACAAAGAATGTGGTAAACCTGAAGCTGCAAAGACAGAGGCCCGGTAAGGTGCCGCACCCTCTGCTGGCCTCAGGCTCCCCACGGCTTTGCTCTCACTGCTGCCAAGCTGAGCTTCTGGAGGATGAGATTCTGTCGACTGCACATCAATCTTGAAGGGCATGTGTGGGGCCAAGTGCTTCAGAAATGGCAGGCTTCTGACAAATGTTGTTACCTGGGAGGGGAGCCCCCTTGGGGCACACAGACTTCCCATGAGCCTGGATTGGCCGATCACCTTTGTGCCAGCCTGAAGGAGGTGGCTGCTGGTATCTTTATAAAGGTCTGAGAGCTTGTGGTAAAAATATCCCAGTCCATTGTCTCCTTCTGTTCTGATATTTATCAGTGACTCTGATGAGCTCATTTTTTTAGCATCCAACCCTTCCTCACCTTGCTGCTCACTGTAAAACTCAGAGGCCAGGACACTCTGTGGCGCACTGCAGGATGCTCTCTCCTCATGAGAAATGTCTTCAGACAGAACCAAGCAGAGCACCTTGCCTTGTCTGGCCTGCTTGCCTCCACTATTTATAGACACTTCCTGGGATGTATGTTGCAGCAAAGTCCAACTGGACTTGACTCTCAAGCTGTGTTCATCTTTCTGAGTCACCAGGTCACTGAAATTTTCTGACTTATTCTGCAAACCTTCTGCATCATTGGTGTTACTTTCATTAAAAAAAGGGATTTCAGGTAGAGTAAAACATTTTGGTTCACAATGGCCAGCGTTCTCAGGATGACAATATTGGGTTTCACTGTCCGGCAATACCTCGGGTACCGAGGACTGATCCCTGTGCTGGTGGGCTCTCTCTTGTGATGCTGAGGAAGTTGTTTTAGGGCCTGAGATGCTCCACAGCACAGGATGATCCCAGTGGTCGTTCTGATCCACCTCCCTCCTCTCCTCTCTCATGAGGCTGGAAGTGTCAGTGGCATCTCTGGGCAGAAGCGGGTCAAGATACCATGCTGGGCAAAACTGCCTTTTCTGTTCAAGGTGTCAAAAAAAGTTGAAATGGGGATGTGGTATATCTTTCTGTGATTCTGTTGCACAGGATGATTCTTGCAGTCATTGGTTTCATTGGATAGATTAATTCAGAGGTTAAATCAAAAGCCTAAGCCATTTGTATTGATATGTGATTTAAGAATCAATGATCTGATTCAGACATAGAACATCAATTTTCCATATTATATATATTATAAATCACTGAGTATTTTGATAGAGATACATTGCATGGGATTGATCCACAGTACCCATTTCTTGATCTAATATATAAATTTATTCATTTTCCCTGCAATAAATCCCAAGCCCTTTGATTCAAAGTTTAGAAGGTCAAATTTAATTATGAAAATAAGTCTGTAATCATGTCCAAAATGCAAAAAAAAATCAAGGCAAACCTAATGAAAATCAGATGGCAAGGCCAAAAGAAATGCCCCAGTATTCTAACCCAGGTCACAGTTCTCTCTCCTTTTGGTTCGCTCCATGAGAATCCCTAAGTATCATAACTGTTATCTACAAGTCATCACCATGGAAGGCCTGCTGTGTGCCTGCTATGTGCCAGGCACTGTGTACACAAAGCAATGAAAGCTAGTGTCTTGCCCTGCAGAGGAGGGGGATGAGGATCACATCATTACTGGACGACTGGCAGGAGGGTGTGGCCACAGCCAAAGTCAGCTCAGCCTCTGTGGACATTCACTTCCTGCTCTCTGTTCAGTAACGTATGAACACCATCTGAAAAATTTCCATTACCTACTATTCTTTTGGGTTTGATTTTTTTTTAATTTAGGAATATATGGGAAGGACATGCCTCTCAGTGGAGGCAAATACGAGTGAAACCTTACAAATTGCATGCCCAAATAAACCTTGGTTTGACAATCCACCAGAGAAACAAGTTAATCAATCAAGAGTATTTCCTTTGTATGACTGCCAACTCGCAGTCTATAAAATGGACAGGGTTTTAAAAACACTGAGGAGTACTCAGTTTCATTTCCAAACCCCATATCTGATTCTGATTATATAATTCTGCCTTTTCAATGCAGACCAAGGGAAAATATACTGTTATGAATGAAAAACCAGGCAAAGCTCCACCACAGCTACAGGCCATTCAAATAATGCAAAGCAGTTTCAACCTGCAGGATTCCATTTAATTTTAAGTCCATATAATAGCTTGCCTTCCCTACTAGCCATTAATCTCGCTGGGACTTTAAAATTCTAATTATGCAACTAAACATTAAGAAAATTTAATCATATGAGCATGCCATAATTTAAGGCGACCTTATCAGTCTGAAAAATCATTACCTACCTCATATTTTAGCTTGCGTTGAATGGTGCCATTGTGAAGTCTCTCATTATCCTGAAAAGAAAATAAAAAGCCCTCTATATTAAATTATAGCAAGTTCATGGAGCGGAGGACTGATTTGATTACAAGTATTTATGGGAATGAAATTCTAAATAAACATACTTGTCATTCAACAATGACACCCCTTCTATATAATTTATATCCTCAAGATAAACATGGACTCTATTGATACATCTGCCATCAGAGAACTGAACCATTTACTCCTAATCTTAAAATTCTAAGAACAATATTAAAAACAAGATTTCCTTAGGGCATTTCTTAATTAGCAGGATAGAAATGCATTGTCTTTATTTCAATAAAATAGACTTGTCACAAATATGTATCTTCTTAAAGTCAAAATTCTATTTCTACTTTGGATAATTTATAAAGTAAATTAAATAAACATAGAAATTGGAAAAAGAATGTTGCATATAGAATTAAAAACTATTTTAGACTTTATAGTCACTTAAAACTTTTCACAGAATTACAAAATTATAAAATAAAGTTACTCTCGAATTAATACTATTTATAAACTGTTACACACTGCCCAAGCAATATTTAATATTTTTTTCCTAGAACATTCCACATCTGAATTTTCTCACTGGAAAACAATAAGAAAACATCACACCACTATCACCAAAAACTTATCTTCAAGGTCATCTTGAAAGATGAATGGGCTGGGTGGGCTGGCTCATGCCTGTAATCCCAGCACTTTGGGAGGCCGAGGCAGGCAGATATCTTGAGGTCAGGAGTTTGAGACCAGCCTGACCAACATGGTGAAATTCTGTCTCTACTAAAAATACAAAAATTAGCCAGGTGTAGTGGCATCCACCTGCAGTCCCAGCTACTTGGGAGGCTGAGGCATGAGAATCCCTTGAACCTGGGAGATGGAGGTTCCAGTGAGTCAAGATGGTGCTACTGCACTCCAGCCTGGGCAACAGAGCAAGACTCAGTCTCAAAAAAAAAGAAAAAAAAAGAAAAGAAAAGAAAGATGAATGAACATGTTACTTGTTACTTGGCTCCTTCAGCTTACCTTCATGTCTGCAGATGTACTGCAGCCTTCACTAATTCCAAGATGCAAATCCTGAAGACGTCTTTGCACTTCTTCTTCAATGTAAGCATTGATCCTGAAATGCAATGGAGATGGAGTGGATCTGACACTTCTAACCACACAGGACATTCTGAGATCCTTTCTTTACTACTGTTTTCACAACAGGGAGCAATCTCATTCTAAACGCCAAACATAACAACAACTTGAGAACTTCATTTTTATTTTGTTCAAGAAATCTGGTGCTATGTGTTCATAGTCTGGGTTTTGCCCAAATGAGGTAGAACTGGACAAGTTATAGAATACTGGGAATGGAAAGGAGATAAGTGATCCCATTCAGGTCCTTAGTGGAATGCCCACTGCAGGATGGGAGAAAATCAGTCACTGGCTTCAGAAGGCTCTGCAGTCTCAGATCTGACTCCAAGACAGGATGCTTCCTTCACAGAGCCTTGTGTTCCTCATACAGAAAAGGATAATACAGATGATAGTTATTTCTTACATCTCCAGGCCATGTATGAGGATTAGCGAAAAAGAAAAAAATAAACAAGAGGTGGACATACTGTCTATGAATCTTTCTCCTTCAGATTGAACAACATCTTGCACACTTGCATCATTTCCAGTCTGTCTTGTCTCTCCAAATGGGTTCTCTGCACCTGGCCAGCAAGACCACATCTTAAGGTCTCTACCTCCCAAAATGCCTAGGACAGGGCCAGGACACAGAGGAAGCCAAAAACAGCTGACTTTTGAAGCAATGTCAACTTATTATCTGGTATCTCATAAACTGTAGGTGAAGTTGTATGAGGCAAAACTATCAGCCTCGACCACCTCAGTGGATTTCAGTCTAATCTCTGGCATTTCTGCCTCAATGTTTTAGGTTATTCCACCTGGAGGAACTAGAGAGGCTAGAGAATTTTAACTTCACTGAAAATCTTTCTAGGGGCATACACTACCCAAATGGAAGTCATTCTGTTCTAGACTCCCCTCCTTCAATTCTACAGATACTGATTAGATGAATTATTATTATTATTATTATTATTATTATTGAAATGGAGTCTCGCTCTTGTCACCCAGCCTGGAATGGAGTGATGTGATTTCAGCTCACTGCAACCTCCACCTCCCAGGTTCAAGCAAGCCTCCTGCCTCAGCCTCCCAAGTAGCTGGGATTACAGGTGCCCGCCACCATACCCAGCTAATTTTTGTATTTTTAGTAGAGAAGGGATTTAACCATGTTAGCCAGGCTGGTCTTGAACTCCTGACCTCAGGTGATCTGCCCGCCTCAGCCTTCCAAAGGGCTGAGATTACAGACAGGAGCCACCACACCCAGAAGGATGGATTATTTTAAAGGTAATGGTTTCCATGTTTATATGTTAGCACATTCTCACTAAATAAATAAGCAAATCTGCACACACACATGCATGATCCTGTAATCATTTCTATACTACTGACCACAGAGAAATGATTTTCTAAAACACTAGGTAAAGATATTAATATTTTAGATAAAAGAGCCCAAATAAATCACAGTGTTTATCTTTCAATATTATAAAATCGTGTGCTACTGAACATGAGTGAAGGCCATTTACAACTTATCTCTCCTGACATTCACTTAAATTTGAAACTAGCCCTGTGGAATATGAAACTCATGCCATTCTGAGTATATTTTGACATCCAAATATACATCTCCTAATATCTAGGGTTCAAGACTGCCCAATTTCAAATGCTCCCATGGTTAAATGGAGTAAAGAAAGATAATCATTGTTTTCTTATAGGCAAAGAATAATTAAGCTGATTTTTCAAAGGGCTCTAAGCCACAGAGCAATATATAGTGCCAGCTAAGTTGAAAATCACTTAAGTAACATCAGATATATATTTATTATACTCACAATCATTCCGAATATACTAGTAGTTTTTATAAAAAACTTCATCTATTTGTAATCAATGACATATAAAATAACTGCCAATACAAGGTCTTCCTTCTTGGTACAATTAAGTTAATTCTAGGTCTCTGTTTTTGTCAACCTGGCCTTGCCTCACTTTGTGCTGAATGAGCTGGTTTCCCTGCAACTTTTCATTCCAGCCTTTCACATAAACCACACTTGACCCTTGAACAACACAGGTTTGAATAGCACAGGTCCACTTATGTGTGGATTTTTTTTCCCAATAAATACAGCTGGACCTCCCCATTAGTGGTTCCACATCCATAAGTATATACAGACTTAAAACATATGGAGGGCATATATGGAGGGCCAACTTTTCCTAACTGCAGGTTCCAGGGGGCTGACAGGAGAGGATGTGTGGATTCTGGTATCAAAGGGCAGTCCTCTAACCAATCCTCTGCAGATACCAAGGGACAACTGTACCTGCCACAAGATTCCTTGGATCTGGCTAGCCAGTTCTAAAGTCCTTGACCTTCTTGAAATGATCCCTTACCCCACGACTGGCAGGGCAGTGGCAGGCGAAGGCAGAGCGCATCTCAAGCACATATATTACTTGTTGCCCTTAATAAAGCCCTCCAGATACAAAGTAGTCAATAGAGAAACAATGAGTCCTTGAATCACATCAAATGAAAAGCACGGAATCACTTTCATGTCTAGTACCTGGCATCCATCAGGGGAACCAGCTGTGATTTTTCAGCACTGAATGGCAAGATGGAAGAAGCCACCTTCCCTTCCGGGGTCCCATGATGACCTTTTTGAACACCATCAACCTCGTAAATCTTCTGCTTCAGCTGCTGGATTTCATATTCTAACCTATACATATGGAAGCCAGATAATTCAATTCATTCATTAATAGTATTTCCTGAGCTTCCTTACTGTGTGAGACATTGTTTTAGAAAACATGGGAGATCAAGATCTGTCCTCTATGTGCAAAGAGCTTTACATTCTAATAGAAAAGGTACTACAGACCATTTAGACAAGACATAAAGTACCAATGGACCCGAAGAAGGGTCCAGGGCGAGTAACACAAGCATCCAGAAGGTAAAGTACGTTTGACCAGCAAGAGCAAAGATCTCTCCACTGTGCTCTAAGCAAGTCCTAGAGGTAGATATGTAGGATTCTGAGGCCCCCTAACTTCTGCTTCATCAGTAGTTGGTTGTGGACTACATATCGGGGTTCTGGTAAATACTTAAAAAAGATCAATGTTTTAAAGAGTTTTAAAAGCCACCAATCTAGGAGAATCACAGTCAAGGCAGTTCTAAGTTGAGTCTCCAGAGGCCAGTGGGAATGTTGGCACTTGGAGACGATGGCAGAAGATTATCTAAGTGTAGGAAGCAATACGAGCAATGGGGCAAGGCCATGAAAACCAAGCATCCACTTTGGGTTAAGGCAGAGGGCGTGGGAAGGGAAAGCAGGGGAGACTGGCCTAGGAAGGTAGGTTGAGTTCTATGACACACTAAAATAAACCATAAAATTTACCTCCAGTGATAAACGGTATGTCTACTGAGGTCAAATGTGTCTAAGGTCATTTTCCCGCCGACTCAGGCAGACTTGAATTCAGGGCCATCAGGCCAGACGGCCAGGCTTGGCAGTGAATTTGACGATACCCTATTGATATACTGAGGAAAAATGAGACTGCAGTCCACTCCATGTGTGAACTTGGGCAAGTTCTTTAAACATGGGTCTCAATTTCTTCATGGATCAAGTGAGAGGGCCAACTAATCTCCCTTGATTCCTTCAGCTCTAAAAAATCAGAGATTCTGGCTTCAGATGCCAACACACCATGATGCTGCCAGCCCTCTGGTGTCACCAGCAGCAATTTGACCACTCTATTTTGAAGGTGAAAGCCAAGTCCTGAACTTTCAGGCATGAGATCATAGGGTCATGAGGGTAAGCACTCATGGGACCCACACAAGGCTGTGCCCAGTTTAATTCAGCCCTTTCTTAGCAAGTATTTCTAGAGCATCAACTTGCAGAATATACAGTATTTTCAAAAGAGAAGACAAGCAAAAAAAAAAAAAAAAAAGATATCAGAGGCCTCGTGGTGGGCAAAGAATTGGGGAGCAATATTAATAGGGTATCATCAATGGCTAAAAAAAAAAAAATGAGCTGGATATAGGTAGGCAACTAGCAATGTTTACAGTTAAGAAAACTCCTGCTGAGGTTGTTAAGAATTGTCTTTCAGCACAGGGCCAGTGGCTAAAGGAAAAGCCTCCACAGAGCAAAGGGAGGTTAGAGTGGGATCCTGAACGCTAAGTGAGATTTACATGGGTGGCAAGGGACAAGCTGGCCTTCCCGTGTGGCAGACAGTTTGTCAGGAGACTAGAGGGCTAAGTGGCTCAGAGATGGGTGATGAGATCGAGATCTGCTTTGCAACTCTGCCACTTTCTAACTGTGTGACACTAATCCCAGGTGGTTATACGACTACTGCAGGCCTCAGTTTCCTCATGTGTAAACTGGAGACCATGGCACTCTTTACTGGAAGAGTAAATGACAATGCACATGTGGCATTTAAAGCAGGATCTGAGGTACACAGAGTTATTCTTCATGGTTTGCATCGTGACTTGTTATCATCATTGTCTCATTATTAAAGGACTCTGACAAGAAGATCGGATTAAGTGTGAGCATTAACAACTCGTTTCTGTTATCCCTTCTGTGGTGACAGGAGAGTTTACTTGGGTTTCCTGATCCATGTCAACAGGGCAGCTGGCATGAGCAGCCGGTGGGAAAAAAGGCAGGAAAATGGATTAAACCTGGTTCATAAAGCACTGAGAAGGCAACGGGAGAGCCAAGTCCAGGACACTCTTGTCCAGTCCAGTCCGTGTGAATTTAATATTTCACACTTGTGGAATTTTACAAAGGGCCAAGTCAGGCTGCACAGTGAATCCTGGCTTAGCTGTGAGAGCCCTGGGAGAAAATGAAGCACAACAGAAATTCCCATAGAGAGCTGCAGGGGCATCGCAGTCAGAGCAGAGAGCCCAGAATCCGTTGGCCTGAATTAGGACTTAGCTACGTCTGTTTCATGAAAACTCGTGAAGCTAACAGCCCACTTTGCTCGGCTTCTGAGGGAACACTCACATTCTGTAATTGCTCCCGTGGAAACTGCAATACTGCGTCTGCTATTATACAGTATTAATACTAAACGGCTGGCTGACAAAAGCCAAGGACATCAAGATAAAAGCTCAGGCTGCATTCTTATTGTACACTACAGGCCACACATTGAGTGTGCCCCCCATACTTTAAATTTCCTGGGGCTGGATCTTTGTCGAGCAATTTCATTTACATAACATACCTGCAATCATTTTCTTAAACCTCCAACCTATTTCTAGGAAATAACAGCAATATTGTTTTTGATTGTTACTTTGTTCCTGTTTTGCCTGAGGGAACTACCAGAGAGATGATGGTAAATATAATCCATAGCATAAGCCAATCATTTCAATGGAGGTTGTCCTGACCTTTTCAGGCAAAGTGATGGGCGAAAGCAACAGTAAGACTTCTGAGTAGCTCTTGCCTTGTTATCAGCAACCGGCCCCTTGCATCTGCTAAATGCCACGGTGGGGTCTCTGGGCCAATAGACTGGACTTCTGCTGCAGCCCCCTCAGGAGGTGCTGTGGGTGGGTGGAACACTGCAGAGAGGGCAGGGTTTCAGCTCCCCAATCTGGGCTTCAGTCAAGATCTCAACTGAGCAGGGAGTGGTGGCTCGTGCCTATAATCCCAGCATTTTAGGGGGCTGAGGTGGGAGAACAGCTTGAACCCAGGAGTTTAAGACTAGCCTGAGCAACACAGGGAGACTCCAACTCTAAAAACAGATAGATGATAGATAGATACAGATAGATAGACAGATAGATAGATAGATAGAGAGATAGAGAGATGGATAGATAGCCATGGTAGTATATAGCTCGGGTTCCAGCTACTTGGATGGCAGGAGCCCAGGAGTTTGCGGCTGCAGTGAGCTATGATCACACTATTGCACTCTAGCCTGGACCCAGATCATGATCCTGTGGTCTCATCCACCCTCTCCTTGTGCAGGTGGTGACATTGAGGCCCAGTGATGAAAGATCCTGCCCAAGGTAGGAAGATCCTATCATCTTGATAGGAAGGGGCTGAACCAGGATATACATTCTCTTGCAAGTCTCCAAACTGGGTGATGTTTGCATACTAGGTGGCTGTTGGCCTTTCTGTGAGTCTTGTCATCATGTCTTCAAGGCTCCGGAAAAGGTGTTCTCAAATTCACATAATATTCATTTTTAGAACTTATGGTCTGGTAAGTATGGTGGCAGAAAATAGGTGAAAGAAGATAAATATTCTTAAAAAAAAATTTTTTTTTAACTTTTTCTTTTTTTGAGACAGAGTTTCCTTCTTGTTGCCCAGGCTGGAGTGCAATAGCACAATCTTGGCTCACTGCAATCTACGCCTCCTGAGTTCAAGCGATTTTCCTGCCCACTCCTCCCAAGTTTATAGGTGCCTGCCACCACACCTGGCTAATTTTTTTTTTTTTAGTGACAGCGGGGTTT